TGGTAGTTTTGTTAGTATGTTACTCTAGATGACAGCTTTCTCTCAGTATAAAAATATAAAATATTACTCCACTCTCTTCTGGTTTTCATTGTTGTCAAGTAGCTGTCTCACTAATTGCTGTTACTTTGTAACTTCTTCCTCTTTGAAAGTGAAGACCATCTATATTTGGCGGTTTACTGCATAAGACTATTGTCCAAAAACTTATACAGTTTTGTAGTCTCACACACACACACAGTGCATTCCTTAGAACTTAAGAGAGAGCCATAACATTCCTTTCTGTAAAGTGCCCAGAATCACTTCGAACCTCAAGCCACTTAAATTTCTTAGCTTAATTTTTCTAATCACATTGCTAAGTGTTTGATTCCAAACTGGTTTGTTTGTGGATGCTAATTCTTGGGAGAATTTTCTCTTCATTGTTTTCTTTTTCTTTATTCTTTAAGAGATACTTTTGCTATAAGATGCTTGCGCTTGCTAGAAGAGACAGAGAGGGAGAAGTCACCCCTCAGGGGGGACAGCCATGCTGCAATCCCTTCCCCTCCATTCTCTTCTTGGGATTTTGGGCACACATACACATGTGCCCAGAGTCAGTTTTAAGTCGCTGGGTCCAGGACTTGAATCACAGTTAGTCATGTGAGAGTCCAGTGATATAACCATTACACCATCTGTTGGTGCCCATCTGGTGTTCTTATGCCTCTCTGATGGAGGATATTCTAGTTCATTCTTTCACTGACTATGTCATCTTTTAGGGTTTCAGGTTCTTGGGACCAACAGTTGGCATAATGGCTATGCTGCTGGACTCTCATGTAGTCCACCGCGGTTCGAGTCTTGAACCTGGTGGCTTAAACTCACACCAGGTGCATGTGCATGCGTGCCCAAGATCCCGATAGGAGAATGGAGGAGAAGGGATTGCAGCGTGGTCATCGCCCCTGGGGGGTGATTTCTTGCTTTCTGTCTGTCTCTCTCTTTCTGGCGAGCGCATGCGCCCTATAGTAAAAACCTCTCAAAAAAAAAAAAAACGTTTTAGGTTCTTACATTGACTTCACACTTTGGTGGCTACTTAGCTTTGTCTCCTTTCTAGAGGTTAGCCCATTCCAAAATCCTTAGGACCCAAGGAGTAGCAGAGCCCTTGAAGCAACTGTCCTCTTGAATACTGTTACTTCTCTGGATGGATGCTTTTTGTCCAATCCCATGCTAACTTTAGTAAAATTTCCAAGTCAACAAAGTTATTAAAGTAACAGGACAATAAACACTCAGCTACCTTTCTCTAAGACTCACCAGCTATTACCTGCTGCATTTGCACTATCTTACATATATGCTTTAGACACACAATACAGATTTTTGCCTTTCCGCTGGAAAGTCTAATAGCAAACAGATGATACTTGTTAATAGTTACTTCATCTCTGATGAAAAAGAAGTCTATCACTGCCGAACCTAAGAAAAGCAAGTATTGGGACCAACAGTTAGTGTAATAGCTATGTTGCTGGACTCCCATGTAGTCAACCACAGTTCAATTCCTGGACCTGGTGGCTTAAACTCATGCAGGGTGTGTGTGCATGTGTGCCCAAGATCCCGAGAGGAGAATGGAGAAGGGATTGTGGCGTGGCCATCCCCCCTGGGGGGTAATTTCTCGCTTTCTGTCTCTCTGTCTCTGTCTTTTTGGCGATCGCATGCGCCCTATAGAAAAAAAACTCTAAAAAAAAAAATAGAAAGAAAGAAAAGAAAAAAAAAAAGCAAGTATTATTCCATATCTTGAAGAGCGCAGACACAAAGTTTTTGAGCTATCCCTAATCATAGATGGGTTTAATTCAAAATCAGATCCAAATTGATATACTGCATTTGAGTGTTATTTAGGACAAGCTTGTCACCTTTTTCGTCCATTTACTTTAAAAAAAAAAATCTAGAACAAGGTTCTTTGTAAATGTCCTACATTCCAGTTTTGTTTGTTTCACATGACCAGGTTAAGGTAAAATGTTTTTGGCAAAAATGCTACAGCAGTGATGGGGGGGAGAGGGGCCTTTGAAAGTCTTTCTTGTTACGCTGTGATATATTTAAAAGATTTGGGCCAGCTAATGTTGTGGTAGTTAAGGCTGCTGGATCCCATAAGGTCTGACTGTGAGGTTAAAGTCCTGGACCTGGTGGCTTGAGAAATATGCCAGGTTGGGTCCAGCAGTGACATAAAGCGCTGGACACATACATGGCTGACTGCAGTCAAGCCCCAGACCTGGACATATACATGGCTGACTACAGTTCAAGCCCCAGACCTGGACATATACATGGCTGACTACAGTTCAAGCCCCAGACCTGGCAGGTTGCACGCTCTCTCTCCCCTAAGTACGCATGCTCTATAGCAAAGTTTTAAAAATAATACTTATAAATAAAATTAAATAATTCTTAAAAAAGAAAGAAAGCTACTCCAGGGACAGTGTGTGAGTGCCACAATCTCAAAAGGAGAAAGAGAAGGAATTACAGTATGACCATCCCCATGGAGGGTTGGTTTTCTCATTCTCTCTTTTTCTCTCTACCCTTCCAATGAGTACACACACACCCTCTAGCTATATATATATGTGTGTGTGCGTGTGTGTGTTTTTTAAAGAGTTTTTCTTCTTTTTTAAAAGAATCTTATCTACCATTTCAGGTACTTAGTAACATCCCTCAAGAGGTTCTTCAGGGCATGCAGGCTGTCACCCTGTCAGGAAACAGATGTCCCTACACACTGCTGCCTTTCCAGATCACCAACAGTAAATCGATCTTTACAAATGAAGAATAGGGATCTATCTGTCACCACCTGAGACCAGGTCATATGAAAAGGGGAAGCTTGAGACCAAACCTTCCGTTAGGCGTTCTAGCCTACCAATGCACGCAGTTATTATTCCCTAAAAGTGCAGAGCCTGACGTGGATGTTAGCATCCACAAGTCTAAGGAGTAAACTAGTTTAAGGAGTACATTAATATGGAAGAGCTGAGAATAAATTTAAAACCCTTGAGATACAGTATGGAAGACTTCTCTTACCTCATCAGTAAAAACAGAGAAATACATTTCTAACTTGCCCCCTTTCATGCCAATAGAAGACAGGAAAAAGGAATCTAGAAGTTTCCTAATAACTGTCAACCCTATGCTATAAATCATTTCCATATCAATTCCTCGAATTGAATATGGCTGTCTTCCTATCACAAACGAGTCAGGAAGAACTCAGATCACACCAGTAACTGGTAAAACTAGCAAGCCAAAGTCTGTACAATTATCAAAATCCACGTTTTTTCCACCTCACAAAATGCATGTATTAGGAATTTCCATTCTGTTCTATGGTTATTTGTGGCCTTAAATTCAGTATGACCTAAAGAAAAAAACATCAAATTAAGAACAATCTTGAGCAAGTCATTCCTTCCATGTCTCATGGGTCCTCTTGCTGCTGCTCAAACTGGAACGGCTCTTACCGAGGTTGTCTGCAGCTTTTATATTCCTAAATTCAAGAGCCACTTTTATCCCTCCACGACATTTGGTATCACCAGTGCCATCATCCCCCTTGAAACCCTTTCTTTTATCTCACATTATCATTTCACACAAAGGCAGAAGGCCTCCCTTGTGGAATTCTCTTTCCTTAGACTTTAAATATTGATCGGTTTGCCACTGTAACTATTTTACTCTTCTTATTCTGTAGATTTCCTACACAATACCTACTCTCACATTGAGTTACCACTTATTATGTCGTAATTTAGATATTAACTAAATGCCTACCAAGTTCTAGGCATAAATACAGACATGGTCCCTAACTGGTGGATCTTAGACTCTATCTCCAGCTCAGGGATTTCTCAAGAACACCAGAAAAAACATGGATGCCTGCACCTTAATTTTCCATTGGTACCTCAGTCTCAACCTGTTCCAAAGTGAACTCACTCCCCCTCTTCATTCATAACCTAGTCCTTTCTCTCCCTCTTTCCTATTTTAATAGGTGTTAGCAACCAACCCCATGGTGATCTATTTTACTTTCTAAAGCTCTCTAAAATTGGACTAAAATTCTCCATTCCAGTGCCAGATATACAGTTCAGGGCTCATTGGATTACTTATAGCCTACAACTGCATTTCTGCCTGCAATAGTCTCCATAATCCATTCTTTAAAATAGCTTTCAAAAGGCAAATCTGATATTATCACTTCTTCACTCCCCATCTGCTTAAAATTCCTTAAGGACTTCTTGTTGGAACTGCTGTAAGTCCTAAACTCTTTAACGTAATTTACCAGGCTTTCAGAATCCTGCTCAGTTCTTCAGTTTGGTATTTTATTACTGTAAATCACATTGTTGCAGCTGACTTGGAACAACAGGTTTCTGGAACAACAAAATTTGGGTTAGTTCCTTTCCTATGCATTCCAGCTACAGTCTGTTAGTCCTTATCATAACGTTCAGTAATCTAACGTAAAGTCTAAACACTGAAGACAGGGACTGTATTTTATCTTGTTCACCACTGTATCTCTGGAGCCTGGCACATAGTATACATTTCATAAATGAATTAAAGTTAGTAAGTCTCAACTCAGGAAAAAAGAAAATTCATTTGAAAATTTTTTCAATTTTCTAATTTAATATAGAAATAACCAAAACAATATGGTTTTCAAACAAGGCTTTAAACTAATCTAATACAACTTCTACAACACATTCCAGAGCATTGTAACAAGAATTATTTACAGGCAGCTAATGTATTAAATAACCATGAAAAGAAAAAAACTTGCTTTTATTACACACCAGCAAAAAACACAGGAACGGAACAATTAGAAACTGCAACCTTGTTTTAAAAAATTAAATATGATTATTTAAGAGAATACGATACCACAGAAACAGCACTTTTTCTTTAAGAATCATATTGAAGGGTCGATAACTATGTGCAAAAATAATAATAGTAGTAATCATAATAATGAGGGAGGAGACCAGATGAAATACTGGAAGCAAGGAACTAGTAAGGCTGTGGATTTAACCCTTTCGTATGTAGGTACATCTACATAGAAAATAACAGGCTTTCAAATTGCACAAATCATTTTTTATAGGCTTATATACATGTTTCACTGTGTTTTAAAACATAGTAAATGCCTACACTTTTCAGACCAGGAGCAGACATGCATTTCATTCTTAAGATTAAAATTTAGGCCACTCTTGAATTGGAATATTGCAGTGGCACTTTACAAAATCATTTTGCTGTCTTCCCACATATAAATTTGGTAAATTTAAAAGAATAACATTTTCAGTTTTAAAGATCTCTTGCTAAAAAAGGGCTAAACTTAATATTGTATATTCTGTAGTTTGATATGACAAATATATCCAAATTAACTTATTTTTGAAGATAATTTAGTTTCTCAGATACAATAAAAAATATAAAGGACCACATAGGCAAACACAAAGAAGTAAGATGGAAGAAACACTATACATGCATTTTGACCAAGTAAAAGAAACCATTATATCCAAGAGTACATGTTGAAATCTGAAATGTCTATGTAAACTGTGGCATATAAATTTTTTTCCTTAAAAAAGTACCTTCAATTTATTTACTCAAACACCTACTTTTAAAAAAATATGCAACTTTCCCCAATTTTTAAAATAAAATGCCACAATATATTGTTATTACCTCCGGCATACATTTAAATTTCTTAATTTTTAAAAGATAGACTGGGTGATATGCATACAAACTTTCCTATAAAATCACCATCCAGAGAGGATTATGACATGCTATTAGGCAACAGACTTAAAGCAGTGTTATTGCTTTATCAAGGAGGAGATAACCGTGAGGAAACAAATGAAAGGAAACACCCAGGTTTGATACGTGACCAAACTCTGATACACCTTGAACATTTGGCATCACCTTCAGCAGATCATTGATATAGATGGTATACCATCAAGAACTCATGGTATAAATTAAGAATCTGATTGTTTTAATTAGGAGAGCTGGGATGGGTGGATTTTCATAAAACTCCTCACTGATCCAATGCTTAGTATATGCAAATGAGCAGCACTGATCTCAATAAGAAATGAGATTTTTATACTTCATGTGTTGTATGCGAATGAGGTGGGCACAGGAAGTAAAGCCCAAGGGAGAAGGGGCCACAGTATCTTCTCTCGGTATGGGTAGTAAGAGGCCACTTAACAATATATAGTAGGCCACAATCAAAGGGCATAATCAGAAGACGTGAAATCTATTGGCTTATTAATACTAATCACTAATAATTACACGGCAGGACACCTGCTGAGGTAATTGATATTAATAAATCTGTAACTTGCACACTATAAATCTTTTTCTTCTGTTTAAAAGCAGTTTTTCATTAGACTAACTAAAAATCTCAAAAGTGTTACAACAAAAAAGCGAAACTTAAACCAACTTTCAAAATTTTTCTAGAATTCCTTTATGTAAGAAACATAAGTCAGAAAGTACCAACTTGATGATTCCAAAAAGAGTAATTTCCAAAGTGGATCCAATGCCTAGCTATGTATCTTAACGGCTTCATATTTCTCGATAAGAGAGTGACTTATAATCTAACTGTACTGTGGAACTTTCACATTCTTCACCTAGCAAAGTGATCCCTTCACTCAGTAAATCAGCTGAGCCTAGGGCTGAAAAACACAAACTTAGGTCAGCAGAAGAGATAGAGTAATATCTGTTCTTAGTTTTCTGATGGGAGAAGTAAACTGACGTATGATAAAAACGTTCAAAGAAATATTATGTGGACATTTCTCCAGGTCTAAAATCCTGCCTTTTGAAAAAAGATAATATGTGATAAGTCAAAATGTGATAGTATCAAAATGTGATAATATCAAAGCAAACTACCTTCAGGGACTAATAAATATCAAACGTTTGTCTTTTCAAAACATAAATTAATAGGAAAATATATATCTAAATACCAATTTAGGTTGTTATACCTTTTAACTAATAGTTATATTAGAACTGAACAAAACAGTTTAGAAATACAACAATCAGTGTGCAAGAAAAAAACTTTAATAAAATCTAAAGTGAACACCTTCATTTAATGGTGATTTGTTGCTAAATGTTAACAATAATTCCTCAGCAGTATGAATTATTGTCTGCTAACAGAAATGAAATCTATTAGATGTTGCCAATTAAGTGGTTTTCTAATTAATTTACTCCACCTTAAAAAACAAAAACTCCATATAATATAGGCATGCTTTTAAGGGAACACATTATCTTTTAAGGCCCCAAATACTGAAAAATATTTACTTAAAATCTGTTTTTCTCCCCAGTTGGCAGAACCTATATATGACTTATTACCTAAGAATTCTGAAAAAAAATCCACATGAAGAGCTTACAGAAAAATATTAGAACACAAAGGCTCGACACAATGAAGCCATACTGCTACTCCTCACTTTCCAAAAATGTGCTCTTACATAGATGTCTACTTATGAACTGAAATATAGATGTGAAAAAGAGAGACACAGACATAGACGAAAGCATTTTAAAATTAGTTCCTCCCTCTTACAACAAAACTAAAAGAGAAGCTAAAAGAAAGCCAGGGAATAAAGTAAATTGATAGCAATAATAAAATCATAACTGTTTAAAATATACCGTCAGAAGGCCTGAATCATGTTCCTGTTTCCACCCACTTCTTGGTAAGAAAAAAAAAAAAACCCCAAAGGAATTCGTATAATCTTTTCTTTAGAGCACTTTATTTGATTCAATACGCACTAAAAAATATTTACTTCTTAGACAATTATGTCAAATAATTTTCTGAGTAGTCTACTGTCTGAACTGCATAAGCTGAATTTTTAAAAAGGCAAATGATTTGCCACAAACCTGCTGACATCTGAAAAATATCTAATGGCAAATTCTTCTATTTTGGTCACTTTATATTCTAATGTGTCCATACCAAAATAGGACTAAAATTTTTAATCCAACAGAAGAGAAGCCTGTACACAGTCTAGAACACACATCTTGAATCTGAGCATCACAAATGAAGAGAAGAAAAACGAATCAGAGCCAAGTCGGTTTATCTGCCTCAGGTGATATAATCAAGGTAGTAAAGGTGGGTATACTCCAGTAACCATTCAAGTGGGGATTGGCTCATTTTCAGGATTTACTTACAGATCTCTTCTAAGTCCTTTAAGCCCCCAGTCCATGCAAATGTCCCACTTGGTGGACGGATGAGTAATCTAACCCCACCGGGTTTATTTCAATATTTTGATATTTCAATAATAAGCTGCTTCTGAAGATTTTTTGAGAAGTCTGTTCTCTATTAAAATAAGATAGAACCTCAAAATATGAATGTGAACATTAGAAATAGACAGCATATATTACAAATCCATTCTTGATAGGAACATTAGTAAGAATACACATTAGCTTAAAAAACAGGCTCAGCAAATGTTGCTGATCTGCCAGAGTTTTAGTTCACTATTTACAAATAAGACAAAGTGAAATACAGAAAATTTTACACATTTGGTAGTTGACAGATTACTGTTTGCCAATAGTGGTCTATCAGAAAACTGATATGAAGGAAGACTGGATAAGAGCCAGTTGTTGCCTTCTCAATCAAATTTAAATGTACAGAAAACTAGATTAATTTTGAAACAAACATTCTGCCTTTTATAGGAATAACTGATCAGATGATATGATTGGGAAGTGTAATTGAGTGGAAGTGTTCTGGAAATGATTTATTGTAACGATGTATGATCCATTACTGAAATGTTATCACATTTATTTCAGTAGACCATTGAAGCTGATTAAATGATGTCCAACGGTCATGTTTCTTAGACCCTAAGTATGAGTAAAAAATAAAACTGCTGTTGAGTTCCTTAAGTCACTTTAAAAACTAAACCCAACAGCACTAAAATGAGAAAACAATATAATGGCATAATTCAATGCACATCTATACTGACATTAAAGTGGAATCTGAGTTACTTTGATTTTTAAATGATGTATTTGTGTAGAGGGGGCGGATTAGAAGCTGTTTTAATCACTGCGCACTCTAATCCAAAGAGACAGTTTATCAAATGACACTTATACATCAGTACCCTGCACCAATCAATACCACATGATCATCATTTGCCATTTTAACAATAAGAGAACCATCCTCATTAGTAACAGACATCCTCAAATCATTTCACTTTTGCTTTCTGCTTTTACTTTAAACTTGCAAAGAGAGTTCTCTCCCCTTTTCTTGACAAGAATGTGTTTTCTGTCCATTTTTTCAATCTAATACTGTGGAAAAGCTATCAGCTTCATCAAGGAGGAGCCCACTATAGGCAGGATATTCCGGCAACACTTAAATAAAAGTTCTGTTTTTTTCTTTTATTTCTTTTTCATTCTTTTATTTATTTATTTATTTATTTGAACAATTGATTTAAGTCCATGTCATTTTACTTTATATGTACTGGTCTCTCATCTGACTTTAGGCGCTTTCTGCGGGGCTGTATAAAGTCTTCATCAGAGTCCTCAGTTACCTCACCATCATCCTCTTCCTGCTCAAATTCTGGCAAAGGTGCGAAGGTCCTGTCTGAGTAGATCTCTGTGAGTTTATCTTCAAAGTACAATGCAACTGCTTTCCCTGCCTGAGCTACTTCTGAATCAGCCTGCAAGCAAAAGATAGGAATATTCACCTATTGGTAATGCATATTCCTTCACCAAGTTTGCATGGTCTGAAAAGCTTACCTTCAAATTAATCTCTTGTGTGTCTGCATAAACTTGAACAACTTTCATCATCTAAAAAGGATACCAGAGTCAAAAAAAAAAAAGGGAAATTATAATCCTTTCTAAAGTTATGAGACTGCATAGGATTGGCGACGAAAATCAGCCATACTAGGGAGAACAAATTGCTATAACCAGGTTAAGTGTTTTCTAAAATTCCACAGAACATAGAACCACTTTCGTTACAAAGCTCTGCTACTAAAGGTACTGTGAAACCTCAGTTATTGTCCCATTCTGAATTAGTGAAGTCAATCTGAATAGCAGTCAGTCCAAATACATCAATCTACTCAAGAGAAAAATATCTGTCAAATGACATAAAAAATACTGCTTTAAAAACAGTAAAACTTTCAATAAACCTCTTAATCAGAATGCTATCTGTATGGCACTATGTTAATCATAAATTATTTAGCTATTATTAAAGCAGGTAAAACGGGCTTTCTTATCAACTATAGTTCTTGAAAGTTTATTTTTATTTATTTATTTATTACAAGAGATTTTTACTATAGGGTGTGTGTGCTCACCGGAAAGACAGAAAGCAAGAAGTCACCCCCACGGGGGATGGCCATGTCTCAATCCCTTCTGCTCCATTTTCCTCTTGGGATCTTGGGCATGCACACATGCACTGGGCATTGAGGTTTAAGCCACCAGGTCTGGGACTTGAATCATGGTCAACTACAGGGGAGTCCAGCGACATAACCATTACACCATCTGCTGGTCCCAAGCATATTTATTTTTAAAAATAAGATGAAAAATTTGGAACTGTACTTTCTAAACTTAACTTCAAATGAGTTAGATTTTAATTACGTTAGTCTGTGGCATATTAAGAAAAGGTGACTAGACTTCTCATCTTATATGGATTTTGTTTTTCATTCTAAAATGCCATCTGGACAATTCCAGAGGCAGATATGGGTACACTTTAAAGAATTCAACATGATTTTTTTTTTTTTAGTAACAGAGTCATCCCCTCAATATCTGCAGGGGACTGGTTTCAGGACCTTCCCAAGGATACCAAAATCCATGGAGGCTCAAGTCCCTAATGTAAAATGGTTATTTGCCACCCTCCCATACAGTTTAACTCATCTCTAGATTACATGCAATGCCTAATTTAATGTAAACAACTGCTGTTTTTTTTCCTTTGTATTATTATTGTCTTTGTATTGAGGTTGATTGAATCTGCAAATGTGGAACCTGCAGATATGAAGAGTCAACTGGAATCATATAACACCCATCAGCGATAAAGGAGAGATTTTAGTATTAATCTTTTGAGATTTTTTTGGATTCTCATCGAAATCCATTTTCTTCTCCTATAATGAAAAGCTCCTATAACACTAACAGACTTGACTTTATCCCAAAGTCAATAAAAATAACTTCCTTGAAGGATGTAAATCACAATTCTTCTTAAGGTGTATCCTCAAAAACTGCAAAAATCAAAGTTAATGAAAGTCACATTGCTCAAGTCAGAAAACTCTTAAGTATTATATACTCCAGTTTGCTACTCAAAATGAGCCACCAGGGATTAGTTTGTGATTTTAAGGTTCTGCATTTATGTGTTCAAAAATAAAATCCAAAAACAAGTACAAATACGTTTCCTAGATAAACCCAGAATGTGGGCTGTTTATGATCCCATAAAATATAGGTAGCTACAAACTATTTACTTATCCCAACCTTCAACTCATTTAGGAAGGGATATTTAACCATATTCTTAATGTTATACAGTTAACTTTCTTCTTTGGAGCTGTGGACACAATCAAATTTCACTTCTGACAGGACTGAAGGAGGAAAGAAATTTTAATCAAATAAGAAAACTCTTTC